GAAAGACAATTGAAGTACAGACCTGTCGATGCCATTGGGAATGGACTTCTTGGTGGATGAGTCGTAATCACAAATTAATTTATTCGCCGAACCGTTGCTAATAATCAACGATTTGTCCGAATTTGTTGAACTAATACTCGACTTCTTTTGATGATTAGGCGCGCAATGATTGACGCCATTGGCGGACGTCTGCATGAGCTCAGTGTCCGGCGGTAAGCTGGGGGCGGGTGGGGGCGCCGGCACCTCCTGGGGTAAGGCTTTCTGGAGGAGTTCCACATAGAACTCGTTCTCTTTGGCCACTTCTTTCTGCTTCCTTAACCTCATGCGGTACGAGACGTACGACTTGAAGCCGAACCCCAACGTCACCACTGGATAACCGATACTATACACCGGATTTAGGACACGGATTAGCCATTAGTCAATCGATTCACAAGTCATTTCATTAATGAATAAATTAATGGATAAGTGGATAGAGTTATAGATGGATAAGCGTTTGGGTAAACGGATGAGAGAATGGATTAATGAATACATTCATGAACTGATTAATTCACAAATAATTGGATTAATAGAAAAATAAACGGATTAACGGATGAGTGATTGAAGTAATAAATAAGTAAATGATTTAAGAGATTAATGGATTGAGTGAGCGTTGCGTGAGAGAGAGAGAAAGAGAGAGAGTGAGAGAGAGAGAGGAGAGAGAGTGAGTGAGTAAAGGGAAAGGCATACCAATGAGCAGCGAATGGTCGGCAGAGGTCCAGATGAAAGGGTAAGTTCTTGAGTTCGCGGAGTCTAACCGACGCCTCTATATATACAAATAGTAGCCATAGGGAGACAGTGGGCAGACATATGCCCCGTTCCGTGTGCCACACGTATTGCACCCACACGTAAGTGCTGGCCGCGAAGAATAGCCAGTGAACCGGTATGAATAGGAAGCATATCATGTCCGATGTCAACGCTATCAGCACGAAGAACACCGAAAACGCCTGTCCATCGCAAACATTATCATTAGTACATGACATTCGGGAACACCAGTTAGCTGTCGGTTATCACATCAGGAGTTTCATTGATGAGCACCGGGTGGTCAACTCGTGTGTATATACACCGAAAACGCCTGTCCATCGCAAACATTATCATTAGTACATGACATTCGGGAACACCAGTTAGCTGTCGGTTATCACATCAGGAGTTTCATTGATGAGCACCGGGTGGTCAACTCGTGTGTATAGCGCTATATCCCTAACCACTGGTAATACAGTCTATGAGCACCGGGTGTATAGTGCTATATCCCTAACCACTGGTAATACAGTCTATCGCCCGATATTTAAACGTATAATCAATGAAACCCGTGATTATGACACTCGACGGTGAGTGGTGTGTGTGTGCGGCGGATGACATACCAGTCCTTGATATTTGAAAGAGTCGTAAACACTGCGCAAGAGGAGCCAAAATGGCCNACAGTCTATCGCCCGATATTTAAACGTATAATCAATGAAACCCGTGATTATGACACTCGACGGTGAGTGGTGTGTGTGTGCGGCGGATGACATACCAGTCCTTGATATTTGAAAGAGTCGTAAACACTGCGCAAGAGGAGCCAAAATGGCCACAAGTATTCAAATCGGAACTCGACTATGAAGTCGGCCAACAGTACCAGTGCCCACACCAACAGGAACTTCACGTAAATGAATGGACTGATCGGTGATAATGACAAACACATCAGACTATTAGACATAACATTTCAAAAACAGATAACGCGATGACAATAGGCATCGCGTGTGAAACGCAACACATGTCACACAACTTCAGACATATTTGTTGATCGGTATCAACGAGTGGTACACCAAATGGATCGGTATATCAATTAGTGATGACTACTGTCCAACATATTGGTGACCAATAAGTGGTGACCGCTAACAGACAAATGGCATCAACGGGTGATGTCCACAATCTCAATGTCTGTACATCGGGATCAAATTGCTTGATCGGGAACAACTCGTGGTGACCACTATATGTCTGGGTGTGTGGTGCTCGTGATGGTAACAGTGGAGCCTACCTTTGATTGAGTCCATCGCTAATCTTGGACTTCTTGTTGGCCCGTCTCAGTTTGGCTCCACACAAGTCACCATTTCTTCTCTTCATCACACACACCGATGGCTAATCCCTGGACACGATTATCACCACTACTTCCCTGGCTCTCAATGTCCGACAACTGATCCAAACGAAAGCAATACAATAGATGTAATCATACGGCGATCGGTAGCCGAAGAACTCAATGTATACCTGTATATGAAATGGTAAGCAACAGATAAGAGGTCTGTTTGGATCTGATGGGCCGTGTCTTGAGAGACAATCGCTGGGAACAGATGGCAGTCAAACGGTGGACACAATGTGTCTAATAGTGTGTCAATTGAGTGACAAACCAGTGGTTAGTGTTTGCGTTCATTACATAACAATATTATATAGCATTAGATGATTGTATTCAATGTATTCACTGTATGTATGGTTTGTATGGCTATCTGTTCTCACAAATAATGGCAACCAATGCATACACAGACATCATATCGCAAACACATTATACACATACACTACACCTCACCGTCGCTATACCCACACTATCCACCACCAACTTGCGCTATCATCAACTCTAGGATTTCAGTTAGCTATCACTTATTTGTTATCTGGCACAAAGTTGTTTAATGTTCTTGTAATCAACTTTAATCTATCACCCTGGTACTACTACAACTATATGGTTCTCTATACTGATTATGTACTGTAATATTGTATTGTACGGTGAGTTACGCATGCCTTACCAATACTGTGTGTCTGCTCTATACCTGCGCTCACCATATCGTGCGTCCAATCGCGTGCACTGTATTCAAATGCATGCAATGCCTGGACGTGAGGTTCACGTATGAGTAGCACTGCTCTGCACTCTATCAAAGGTACAGTAAATACTGTGTGCGTCAGCCCCAGTGCCTATATCGGCCACCAGTGGCGCCTATACCCCTACCTAACACAGGTGTATAGCGCTATTAATTACCTGTCCACTGTCCGCGTGACACATACCCGTCCCATACAGTACCCTAAATGCCACTCAAATATGGTATAAATTAACAAAAATATGATTTTATTACTGAAATATATCTCGAAATTAATGATACAATGAATGGTCAGTCAAAGTCCCAACTCATTTGGGACACAAACTTCACGTATCAAAAAGCATTGCCACTGAAAATGACTATAAAAAACGCACAAATTATATAGAATATAGAGTACAGGCGCCCATCGGGCTGTCGTTGTCGGGGGTTCGCGCTTGGGTGGGGGTGTCAGAGGTCGTCGTCTTCGGGCACATCCAGGTAGACGTCGAACGAGTCGCGCAGACAGCCGCCATCGGGAGTGAAGTGATACTTATGAAAGGTTCCGTCGACGCAAATGGCGTACACGGCCTGTCCGGGTCCGAAGGCGCAGATACAGGCGCACTCGGCCGCGATTGTGAACTTAGCCAACGCCCACTGGCTGTCCACGTACTGGTGCGCGAACCCGATGGACGAGAAGTGGGAGCGCCGGTTGAGGTGCGTGTCCTTCAGCGCGAATATGTGTACCGTTCCCTTATCGCTGGACACCACCAGGAAGTCCGAGTCGTGCGAGAAGGCGATGCAGTAGAGGGTGGCCGCGTCGGCCCCGCGACGGAGTTCCACCACTCGCTGCCGTTTACTCGTGTCGAACACCCGGATGAGTGTCCCCTTGACAGAGGCCGTGGCCACCAGTGTTCCCGACTTATTGATGGCCAGACACGCGATGTCCGCCTGATGTGCGGCGATGTTGATGGGGGCCGACGACATGCCCGGCTCAGTGTGGGTCAGGTCCAGGAGGTGGACGGAGCCCTTGCGCTGGCCCGGGAAGGCCAACAGCTGCCGCTCGGAACTGGTATACGGCGTCACTTCGCACAGACCTAACGGGTTGTCTCGCGTGTCAATTGTGAACAACTTCTGGCACTGCTGTGGGAATGAGAAGCAGTGGATCCGCGACCTCTCGACCACAATAATGCGATCCCTCCGAGTCTTGACCGCCAGAACCGTCGATGAAAAGGTCAGTTCCAACACAAACTTCTTGAGCGCGTCATCCCATATGAGAACCGATCGCTCGGAATACCTCTGATTGGAACCGCCGGCCACCAGAGCCATGAGGTTTGTCCGGTGCAACAGCTGGCAGATGGCGATCGATCCGATGTCTTTGGGGTCGTCGAGCGTCGCCTTAACCATCAGCGGCTCCACGTTGAAGATCTTGACGCCCGACTCCATGGCCGCCGCGAATAGGCTGTGCTCTTCGTTCATCGACAGACCGATTATCTCTTTGCGGGCCATTAGGGCGGCGCCCACCGCACCCGTCATGTCGGTGCTGTCGGTCGAGCACCGGTTGGTCGCTGACTGGCGCTCAAGAGGTGATCCCAGTGATGGCGGAGGCAGTGGTGGCGGACAGTGAGCCACGGATGACATGCAAATCACTGCAACAGATCCACCAGTATTGTCATTGGACATCAACCGCAATATATCAACAATAGGTTACCTCAACACCAATATTGGGATCAAATGTGGTGATCAAACCCAACGACGCAATCACTGTAACAATAATTACCACAAATGTCTGCCTCCAGAGTAATGGCAGCCGTGAGTCATATATCAAACACAATGGACTACTTCTTCAGTGTATAAACCATTTAATCATTAAATCAAACAATGATTACAATACTAATGAAAACGCGAGACAATTGGTGACCACAAGTAGTGATCACTGGATATGCGATTCAATAGTCAATACAAAACACAAACAATACATCATATGAGAGGGGGAGGGGTAGGGGAGGGGCCTATATATCGGGGGGATTTCGGGGGGAGCTCTGAACACACGTATAACTATGACTGGCGATGTCCCTGGTCTTTGGAGGCCATGTGTCTCATCAAATGAGTGGTGAGTTTCTCGACTTTCTTGATGTCCTGGGAGTGTTGCGTGGCGTACATCACACACACGGTGTTGTCCGTGCACTTGAGGACCAGTTTGCCATCACTGTGTCTGTACTTCATGGT